CCGTGCACCAGATCAATGATGTTTAGATTCCGGAAGCTGAGGAATATACATAGTTCAGACTCTGACAGTGAGGCCAGAATTGAACAAAGCAAAACTTAAATTAAACTAATTAAAAACTAATTTAAAGTATTTTGACATTGTTCAAATATCAAAAGCTACACCAGGGACAAAGTGGGCATGCCATCTCACTTCCCCTGCCCCGGAGTCAGCTCGTGCTCCAGGTTTTCTGTGTGTCCTTCCTGGGAGGCTTTGAGTGGGGGTAAGAAAAAATTAAATGAGTGAACCAGAGAGGTCTGGTGCTGATGCAAATAGGGATATAACTGGGGACAGAAAGGCCAGGCTGAAGCATGGAATCCCAGTGCATTGTGGGGCCTGACCTGGGAGCTCAGCGGTGGGCCTGGTCCCAGGGTGCCCAATGCCTGAGCAGTCCCTTACTCCATGGAGGCATGTTCTAAGGGGAACAGAGAGCAGAAACAAGGACTCTTCAGTGAATCAGCATGGTATGTCCCCAGAGGTCCCCCGGTTTCATCCTGACCTCCAAGCTCTTGTTTCCTGCACCTGAACTAGATTTTCCACAGCAGGTTAGGACATAACAGACCTCAGGGCATGAGTTACTGACTCCTAAGCATACTCTTTTGCATAAGGGAAGGAGAAACATCATTGAAGAATTTATAGGAAGGCATCATCATGGGAGGGGTGGCAACTTTGCCCAATCTCCTGCTGGCTCATTTCATGGTGGTCACCATTCCTGAATCTAGACCAGTGATGGAGAACCTATGACACCTGTGTCAGAGGTGACATGCGAACTCATTTTTTTGGTTGATTTTTCTTTGTTAAATGGCATTTAAATATATAACATAAATATCAAAAATATAAGTCTTTATTTTACTATGGTTGCAAAGATCAAAAAATTTCTATATGTGACCCAGCACCAGTGTTAAGTTAGGGTTTTTCAAAATGCTGGCACTCTGAACTCAAAAGGTTCGCCATCACTGTACTAGACAGTGGCTTCCTTGGTGTGCCCCGGTGGGCCCTGGAGCTACAAAGTGAATTTCTAGAGTGTGGGGCTAACGCCAGGACTCAGAGCTCTGACTTCCCGTCTTTCCTCACCTGCAGTTGACATGCTGAGCCACTACTCTCTCTGTGTTCCCTGGTTTGTCACTGTGGGTCATGCCACCTCTTTCTCTCCTAGCGCTCCAGTGAGGACTCAACATGAAGATGGGAGTGAGGTGACCCTGCCTCCCTCCCCTGGACTTCGAGTTCACCAGCCCTGCAGTGACCCTAGAGGTCT